GCCAGCTGCAGATTGACGAGATTCCGGCGCTGAAACACCTGTACCCATTACTCGTTAGCGGCACTCCCAACGAGGCGATTGTCCCGTACCCTTCCCTAGGTCCGCCGTCGTCTGAAAACGATGTACTATTCTACCTGCACTCTTCTGGCAGCACTGGCTTCCCAAAGCCCATTCCAATGAGTAACTTGACTGCCATCCACTGGTGCCTAACACGTGAGTCAGTAAAATACCCCGCACAGCCAACAATGCTAAGATAGAGTACGGTTAGCATCTATCTTCGACCTCACTAACCTTCCCACTCCTATTCGCATCGGTGCTGCGTCCTTGCCACCATTCCATACCTTTGGTATATATTTTCAGCTGCTCGCCCCTATCGCCAGCCTGAGCAGTGTGTCTATCTACCCTCCTACATCCTTCCTCGATCCCTTGGCGACCCCTGTAGTACCCAACTCGCAAAACATCCTGGATTCTGTACTCAAGACGAAACCGAACACTTTGCCAGTTGTGCCTGCCTTTCTGGAACAGTGGGCGTTTTCACCGAGTGCCGTCGATGTTCTGAAGACCCTCGAGTGTGTTGTAAGTTTGTTATCGATGCCGTGACAAGGAATGACTCGCGTTGATACCAATGCAGATCTATAGTGGCGGTCCTCTCGCGCCTAAGACGGGAAATACTCTGGTGAATGCAGGGGTCAAGCTTTCTTGTAGATACGGCGCTACAGAATTTGGTATCAACACTCATCGAAATTCGGTCGATCAAAAGTTTTGGGACTGGGTGCGATTTGGACCAAATTCGAAGATCAGATGGGCTCCACAGGACGATGGCACATATGAATGTCAAGTTTTGGTGCGTCTCCAAGTTGATCTTCGAACACGCGTTGAATGCTTTTTCGCAGACAACCTCGACACATCAAGTGTCAGTAGAGAATCTTCCGGACGTCAAGGGTTATGCTACCTCAGATGTATTTATCAAACACCCGACCATGGAGGGTCTGTGGAAGATGTACGACTGAAATTTGCTTTATTCTGTTCTCCGACATTTTCCCTGCAGCGTAGGAAGGATTGATGACATTTTGATACTCTCGTCTGGGGAGAAGACAGTACCAGCTCCCATGGAAAGCATCATCTGCGCCAATCCCTCCGTAAGCGGCGCCGTCATGTTTGGCCGTGGACGCAATCAAGTCGGGATCCTCTTAGAGCCGCGAGCAGGGTGTGAAATTGACGTTGATGACGAAAAACAACTTGCTGAGTTTAGGAACCGAGTGTGGTAAGTCCCCTAAAAGATATGCTACTGTTGCGTCTGAAGATGTTTTTGGAGGCCGGACATAGAGGAAGCGAATAAAGAGGCTCCTGCCTTCAGCAGGATCTTCAAAGAAATGATTCTTGTGACACGCAGCGAGAAGCCCATGCTTCGAGCTGGAAAAGGGACCGTCACCAAGAAAGCAACCATCAAGCTATATGGGGAGGAGATCGATGCCCTGTGAGCATAGTACCCATCCGTCACTCTGTTAACTAGAATTCATGGGCGACAGATATGAAAAGGTCGAGGGCAGCACTAGAGTAGGTATCGATATACCTTTGCCTGCGAGCTGGACTGCGGAAGACGTCGAGGGATGGCTCAAGGTCCACGCTGCCGCTGTGAACGCCAACAAGGATGTTGATCCTGATGCGGACCTTTTCACTCAAGGCTTTGACAGGTGGGTCGAGACCAACAAAGGCTAGTGCTCTGCTTACTCCGTACATCCAGTCTCTCTGCGACATTTCTCAAAAACCGCATTATCGGTTCTCTCAACTCCTCTTCAGATCGCGACCTTCAGGCATCAGCATTGCGGATTGACCAGAACATCATATTTTCAAGTCCTTCCATTCGCCGGCTGGCGAGGAGCGTCATTAATTCAGTATTGCACCGGATTGGTACAGCTACTGTCGACGTCAAGGCTGATATCGAGAACATGATCGAGAGGTATTCAATCGGATTAGGGAACTCTGTCACAAAGCCCAACACCACTCCAGTTAATGGGTGCAGCCAAAGCGATCATGTGGTCGCCCTGACCGAGTCTACGGGTGGCCTTGGCTCATACCTGCTTTCAGATCTACTCCAGCGTGAGGACGTGTCTGTGGTGTATGCCTTTAATCGCCCGTCAAATGGGGCATCCATACAACAACGACAGGAAAACTCGTTCAAAGATCGCGGTTTAGATTCTACCGTACTTCAATCCGACAAACTAGTGTATGTAGAAACTGATACATCCGATGACCACCTAGGTCTGGACAAGGAGTTATATCAAAAGGTTTGCGTCGTTTTCAGTGTCACCGAATCAACTAAGGAAAGCGTAGATCTGCACGTCTGTCACTGTCATCATTCACAACGCTTGGCGAGTCGACTTCAACCTGCCGCTCTCGTCATTCGACGCTCATGTGCGGGGAATGCGGAATCTCATAGACTTGGCACTATCTTCTCCGCGTCAACCAAAGCCGCGTTTCATGTTCGCATCTTCCGTCTCGTCTGCTCAAAGTTGGGATAAAGCGAAAGGACCGTTCCCTGAAGAAGTGGAATACGACGCAGGGATCGCAGTAGGTCTTGGCTACGGCGCGAGCAAATATGTTTCGGAAAGGGTAAGTCACAAGCTACTTTGGCACGGATTCTACGAATACTGTTTCCATGAAGGTTCTCGTCAACAGCAAGTTACCGGCATCATCATTCAGAATCGGACAAGTATCAGGAGGACCCCCGCGAGGAGCTTGGTCTACGACAAACTGGCTACCGATCATCGTCAAATCAAGCATTAGTCTAGGCGCACTTCCGGAAGCTAAAGGAGTAAGTCCATCACTATCGAAGGTATCTATTCGTGACACGCGTGTTTTAGTTTGTGTCTTGGATCCCTCCCCACGCCGTATCAAATGCTATTCTTGATGTAGCTTTCGCGGAAGAAGAACCTCCCATCGCGGTGAATCTGGTGCATCCGAGACCGACTGCATGGAAGACGTTGATGCAGCCCATTGCGGACGCCCTGGTTGAGCGTAAAGTAACAACTTACCTGCTACCTCTTGTGCCATTCTCAGAGTGGCTCGAAAAGCTTGAATGGAGTGCCAAGGACTTGAGCGAAGAGACCATGGAACGCATCGTACGTGCATCTTGATAGCTGGCCAGAACGCTTCCAAATATTCTTCGATTACAGCCTGCCATCAAGCTTCTCAACTTCATGCGTTCCATGGCTCGATCGGACATCGCGATCAGGGCGTCTGGAGAGATGGGCTCCGAAGCGGGTGGGATGACTTTATTCACCACTGCCGTAGCCGAACGCGTCAGTCCAACGATGAAGGAACTGAAGTCGCTGTCTTCGGCGGATGCGACACAGTGGGTGGATTATTGGGAGGCAATGGGGATGTTCCAATGAACATAGTATGAGTAAGTCTTGAGGTTATGGCGCGGAGTATGAGGTGATTATGCTAGAAACTGTCTATTGAACTCTGTTATTAACTCTACTCAATCACGATTTCATTTCATGACAGTTCGAGGCCATGCAGCTAGAATGGTACATCGACATAGGACTGTGAGAAAGAAAGATATCAATGCGAGATAATGATAATAAGACAGCATGACATCAGTGCATAAAATCGACCATTTCAGACCTGGGACTGAGATGACACTGTAGTTTCGATGAGACGTTCCTTTGTGCGTAGGGAATCATTAAGAGCAGACCTGTGCAAGTTTCTGCCCTTCGGATAACACAAGGAGGCAGGACCGCAAGCCCTTCAAACACCACTGCCTTTCAAGCCAGGAGAGGAGGTGGCGATCCCAGAAGACCTTGAATGCACAGTTGAGTCTGTGGTCCGTTGGACTCAGGGCTCGCGAGAGATGGAAGACCCAGTTTTGACATGCGTATTTCAGGGCGCCAGAAGTTAATTGATCCTGTGCTTCGTTTGCGAAAATCGTAAATGCAGTCATAGTGTGGATGAGCTCTATTTCTGGTATAAACCGATCTTGTGGGAATGCAGAGGTAGAATGATCTCGAGGCCTTAACGCGAGGAATGCCGGAAACATCAAGAAATCTGGTAAGCTCTTAAACTCCTGGATTGCTTGAAAAGCTGGTGGGAAAGGAAATCGTAGGGTGATAGCGCACTCGCTGATTGCTTCCAATGTGCTTGAGAAGTCTTCCATTGTCACCCAGACAGACGCTGCAGGGGTCAACTGCCATGCTTGACCATGGGGGGTCTTTAACCACTCTCGTCCTCTCTCTGTCTGCAGCCACTCTCGCCCGCTCAGGGTCAGCAGCCACTCCCTCCCGCTTGGTGTCTCCAGCCACTCTCTCCCGCTTGGTGTCTTCAGCTACTCCCACTCGCTCTGTGTCTGCAGCCACTCCCTTCCGCTCGGTGTTTCCAGCCACTTCCACCCGTTCTGTGCCCCCAGCCACTTCCTCCCGCTCGGTGTCTGCAGCCACTCCCTCCCGCTCTGTGTACACAGCCACTCCCTCCCGTTCGGTGTCTGGCGCCAGTTCCACGCGTTCTGTGTCTCCAGCCACTTCCGCCCGTTCTGTGTCTCCAGCCACTTCCACGCGTTCTGTGTCTCCAGCCACTTCCACCCGTTCTGTGTCTTCAGCCACTCCCACCCGCTCGGTGTCTCCAGCCACTCCCACCCGCTCGGTGTTTGCAGCCACTCCCTCCCGCTCGGTGTCTCCAGCCACTCCCTCCTGCTCGGTGTTTTCAGCCACTCCCTCTGGCTCGGTGTGTTCGGCCACTCCCTCCTGCTCGGTGTTTTCAGCCACTCCCTCTGGCTCGGTGTGTTCGGCCACTCCATCCCTCTCGGCTTCCTCACACTCTGAGTTTGTGACTCTCGTCCCCCCTGTGTCTGCAGCCATTCTTGGCCACTAGGAGTCTGTTGCAGCCACACTCGTCCAGTTGAGGTCTCAAGCCACTCTTCTCCGCGTCGGCTCTGCAGCCACTCTCCTCCAATCTGAGTCTGCAGCCACTCTCCCCCTTCCTGGGTCAGCAACCACTCTCGCCCAGTCTGCGTCTCAATCAGCCAGCGTTGCCCGCTGATGGTCTCCAGCAAGGCTTCTTCGCTACAAATCTCCGGCACGTACTCGCTAGGGTCTCCATTGACTTGTCGCTGCCTTTGAGACCACAGCCACCCTGGCCTACTCTGTAGCCACCCTTGCCCCCTCTTGGTCCCCAATCAAGTGATTCCCGTATGTGTCTGTAGCCAATCCCGGGTCTGCAGCCAGTCTTCCCCCTTCTGTGTCTGCAAATAGTGTTCCCCACATTGGGTCTGCAGCCACGCATGTCCGTCAAAAGTCCGTAGCCAGGACCGCAAACCCGACCTGCGAGCTCCCCGATGCCATAACAGGCCCATGAGAACTTGCAGCGGCTCTGGTGGCTCAACGATGAAGGCTAACGATTGTTGCAAGTTTCGGGGGTCATGGGGTTGCATAGCCTGATTCTGCGACTTCAATTTTAGGAGCGCGTCCATGAGAGCAGTGCGTGCTGGGATGTCTTGAATCATCAAGCGGAAAGACGAATAGGCGAGCAGAGAATGTGGTAGGATGGGTTGTAATTCAGGGAGGCTGCAGTTTGAGGAGTCTGAAGAATAGTCTCGAATGGACGAGTGGTAAATGTTCACAGGATGGCTGCTGTCAGCGGGGATATCCATGAAAGAACGTAGCTGTTTCAGCGTGGCCTCGACATCGCTGCCTTGACCAGGACCAAGGAGCTTCGAAATCTGTGAGATTGGCAGAGGGTCTGCGAGGGCAGCAACAATGGACAAGTGCTGGTATGCCCGATTGGGGTTCGAACAGGTGGAGAGGATGCGGTTGTATAGCTCATACACTTCCGTCCCAGGTAGAAGTTCATTGGTCAGCTCAAGCATGAGCTCAAGGCGATCCTGGGGGTCATTGTATCCGTCATTGACGAACTTTATCATTGTAGATGCCACGATGAAACGTCTGCCAGCTCGGTTCGCCAGCCGCGCAAGTTTATCTGCAGTGGGCTGAAGGAAATCAGGATGGCGATTTCGCAACTCCATGAAGGAATGCTGCAAAAATGTACAGATGTCATTGTCCACATCTTCGCCGTCTAATGAAATAATGCCAGCAACGCCCTCCTCAGAAGTGTTCACCGGTATCTCGTACACCAGCGGGTGCATCTCTTCTTTTTGAATGGATTTACGGATATGCTCCTCCAAGCGACTCGTGAAAAGAATGTGGAACACGGGAAGTTCAGGATCACGAAGAGCTTCTCCAAGGAGGGAGATCAGATCGGCGACCGTTGCAGGTTGGCATTCATCGAGGGCATCGACAGCAAACACCGGAGGCGGACACTCGCGCAGCCTGAATTGCAGGTGCCAGAGGGGTCGACGAAATAACGCCATCATTTGGTCGCGAAGAGACTCGCTGGAGTCTAGAATCACTGGAGTCTCGCGGATAGCTTTGTTCATGTCATTCTTGACGCTGGGGAAATTGCTCGCAAGCTGGTAAGCAAAAGTCGCAAAGAAATGACCGGTGGTGCTGCGTTTCGTGTGCTTGCGCGAGAAAAAGAATGTTCCCGCGAGCCTTGTTTCGATTTTTGTCGTCTCCGTCATCATCAGACCTTTCATCCTCTTGGCCACAGTGAACGCCACAGCAGACTTTCCGACGCCCGCCGTGCCATGCAGCCAAATGATCTGACTCTTATCTCGCTTGTCCAACAATCCGCAGATGAGTTTGAGAATGTCCACTCGGGTCCCTTCCAAACATTTTGGATGGGGCTGGCGTTCAGGGGAGTCGTATTTAGCACCCAGGACAGCGACCTGGGACAACTTCTCCCAAGTTCCTTCGGCCATTGCTAGAAGATCTGCCAGTCGGGTCAGAGAGCGAGAGAGGCGACAAGGGAAGGAGATATTCACGTCGATCTTAGTCGCTTATCGACAGAGGTTGATGTTAGAATGCGACACAAAATGGGAGTTGGAATAGGTCAAGTCGGGGAAGCACTGATTCAGTTCAACGGTGTAATTAGAACTCACGATGGCGATGGCTGTCTCAGAGAGGACGACATACGGCGTTGATTGAGGAATCGATGTCTAAGCGGTAGTAACTTCGTTTGAAATCAAAAGGGATAGTGAAAAGAGAGATATCACAGGATGCTTGAGATAGAATGGACGGTTGATTGCGATTGTATCCAAAGTCGATAGATGGCTCGGCGTGGTTCACAAAGTTATCTCCAAGTCACTTCGCTTCGGTAAGCTAGAAATGCGGCATACAGGTGGCAATGGAACGATCTACATAGAAATTTGTAGAAAGCTGTGCAAGGGAGGCAATAATGTTCCGGTTTGTTATTCGACATACTAGTACAGGTACCAGGTACTGAATGTTCGGATCGGACAAAACCGAGGCGACTCCTACTAGTACTACTACGTACAGTCGGGGACTGTGGCGACCGCTTCTTGATGATCCTGACATGTAAGTTGCAGGTACAGTTGACATGCATATCGTAACTTATGCATAAACATTTGCAGTCTCGACAATACTAGTAATGGCACCAAATTGTCTTTCGCTTCCGCACTCTTTCACTGGCATCGTTTGTAGGCTAGCGGGTCCATATTTGGCTTCATGCACCTGTGCTTGTGCGTTTTTTTCAGCTGAAAAGGTCACGGAGCTAATTTGGCTACCACGCCCGTGTGCTTGCCACAGATCGGTATTTCCTCGACATGCAATGCAGAGAGATTCCCATCAGCGGTATGTTGATTATTGCAATGCTCAACGATATATTGCTTGAGATACATTAGATCTGTTCACAGGTTCATTGATGCCGCAAACAGCGCAAGGTTAGGAATACTTTTGTGTTTCCCGGAAGTTGAGGTCACCTTTGACCGAGGTCAAAAGAAGGGTAGCCTATTCGGTTTGCAAGGTTACCGCCACTGCCACACGCATTTCGGCGAGCTTTTATGTTGGTTAGTATTTAATGTTTGTCACAGCATGTCAGACTATATAAATGTAGGCTGCTGGCTCAAAAATGAGCAAACAATCAGACCATGCTGTCTCAAGCCCTGGAGAGTGGTCATCGTATCGGTGGGCACATCGTGACACTATTTTTGTTCACAAAGTCCGACGTGTTCACAGTTCTTATCCCAATCGTGCGTGTCTCTACTACATGTTGCTTGTATATTCCTTGACATTCAAACTTTGTTCATTAGACTTTATCTACCCTTGCAGCTGATTCCCATCCCGATATAAATCGCATTCCGCACATCATCATATGGATATGGCTGCACCTCCTGAAACATGATATATATATAATCAGATGCTGGATCCAGAGGAGGACCAGAAAAACAAGCCTTATCGCCCTCTCCCTGCCGGTCGTATAACTGCCCAAAATGCGGCGGATGTACGCTGGCTGCTAGTGCCAGTCTGCCTGATATTTTCTGCGATGTACAGCATCAAGGCTCTCGCTTGTAGCGCTTGTATAGAAGCCCTCAGCATCTGGTACAACAAGTTTGGTGGCGATAAGACTGGGCTTTCGAAGAACCTATTGACGGCTATCGCATATACCAATTTCGAATTAGGTGCAATGGCCGTGATTGGTATGTGGACTATCCCAGAGATCATGAGCACGCTTTGTTGTTGACTAGTGTTTATATTTCAATAACCAGGATCCAGTATTGATAACATTGGAGCATGTGCAGTCGCCTTCAGCTCTGTAGTGTTTGCAACGATACTTCATGCACAAGATTTCAAAGATGAGGAGGGAGATCGATTGACGGGAAGACCCACTCTTGTCATTCTGTTCCCTACCTTTGCGCGTATGTCCATGATGATTGGTATCCCACTTTGGTCACTCTACCTCAGCAGACTTTGGAAGATAGATCTCGTCTGTTCTCTCGCGTTCGTAGCGTACGGAACGATTGTCGGGGCGAGATTCATGGTTTATAGGACCGCGAGTGCGCACAAACAGTCATGCAAACTGTATAGCGTCAGTAATCTCGAGTCTAAAAATTCTACCTACTAACTCATGTCTGTAGCTCTGGTTTACCCTTGTGCACTTACTCCCTGGCTATTGGCGATTCTTCTACAGCACTTGAAATTAGAAGCCCAGTGCAAGTTGCACATGTAATAATGTATTATATTACGAAGGAGATACTTGCAATAGTAGACTGTAAAGATGGCTTCGCCTCTAGCGATGGACACACTGCATCAGACACTTCAACGATTCTGACTGTATGCTTGTTTCCGATTCTTTGCCTTCAATATTCCACAATCTCACACCTTCGTTTATATCCTTCTACTCATTCACTGCTTTGTTTGATTATCGTCTCATTCGCACTCATGCGAACGCCTTTCCATTTCACGTCTCACTACTCGCGCTTTGACAGCGCTTAGATCTCGTCGCATGTAAAAACCGCATGTATATCTTCATATCTCTAATGATTCAATCTCACTCAGAAGTCGATGTTTCGAGATGGTGATGAAGGTGTCTCCGTGTCTATTGTACATGATTGAAAGTCTCGTTGAGCTGTACGGATAGGCTAGAGGTGACACGATCTAGACACATCGGGGACTGCGTGCCTTCAACACTAGAGCGGGTTGCACAGTTTGGCCTTAGGAGTATTGGAACGTCCAAATACAGTACGCATGACATCGTATCCGCAAAAGAGAACCCGTTCTTCAATGGTATCACTTCATTCTATTACGACGAAGCCGAGACCATTGAAAGACGAGGCCTTAAAATTTGCAACATTTCTACTGGATTCTTGAGCGTTGCTGTATTCCCCGATAGTTGTCGTGCTGCAAGCTTAGGGACGAGTGAGCATCTGGAGTCGAGAAAAGGTGAGTAAGAGAAGAGAAGACGAACGTCAGCAGGCGTCACCCAGTCCCATCATTAATAGAGATCATCATGCTTCTACTATGGACGGAAGTCAACTGATGGTTAAGCACAGAACTAGGGAGGAGTGCACGAACCGTGTCAAGTATGTGACCAACTAAGGTCCTGCCTACCCTTGCTTCATCAGGTAAGTGAAAAACAAAGAATGGACATGTTTTTAGGGTTGTGCTTAGTACCGGTATATGGAGGACTCTCACAGGCACCGTAGGGTCCTGTCATCATCGTCATATCCAGATACTAAGTTAACCACGTCCCGCAAAGGGTTCCTTAACAGTGTCCGAACGGCCAAGGCAAGGTACAGACCTGTGGAGTGCTGGTGATGAGCAACTCTGTGATCTCTTTGAGACGCACCACTGCACCCCTGCAAAGATATCTGTGTTTTGCACGACGACCCCAGGTGGTGACGCTGCAACTCCAATTTCAGACCTTGCCAAATATTGATATCGTCTGGAAGAACATTAATAGCGTCCAAACGAGCATGCGATTATGCCAAGGGTACGCGGTGAGCGTGTGTGTTGTGTTATTCAATCAAGATATGGCACGAACCTGGTGAATGAAGAGCAATTCTGCAAGCTGTTCGAACCGCGGTGACACCAACTGTGAGGATATCCAGACATACCCTTGGGCCTTTAAGGTGTTTGTCCGAGTCCTGAGTTTGTCATGCACTGGGAGGGGTGAAGAAAGGTACTTGGCGGAACTGAGAAGGATGAAGACACATCGAAACAAAAGTGCTGGCGTCGATAACAGATCAGATCAGCTGGTGTCATATAGGGGCAAAGGGGACGTGGTATTTTGGTGCTCCCTGATGCCCTGAGACGAGCACGATCGAGTTGACCGCGGCATCGGGAGAAAGAGCAGATCAAGTGCTGAGGAATTAGAAAGTTTGAGATGCTTATCACTTGATAAATATACGCAGTGAGAAAGGTGGGAGCAAAAACTGGATGAGACACTATTTAAGTAACAGATCCGGCATAATGTTAAGTGCCCAGGCACTGTTTTGGGGCGAATAGTTCTTTGTGAGCGCATTTTGCAGGTAATTCCTGCAGGTTCTTGATAGCTCTGGATTACTCTAATGCACGAAACGCAGGCAGAGTGTGTATCACACAAGACATATCTGTGACCTGCGTTCTGTCAGCGTCTCGTGTCAGCAAGACATGCCTTCGTCGACACACCATGCCAAACACTCAACACTCCTTTACAGATTCAGTGACACTAAAAATATCACTGCGATTGCGAGAAATTATGCAAGACCCAGCTGCACCAAGTACTTTGTGGAACGTGGAGACGGCATACAGAGCTTCGAGGTGCCGATACGAATGGGATGTGTTCTCTGGAGAAAAGAATGCATACTGGTATGGCCAGCTCCGCTGTGCAACGTGCTTCCCGGGACTGTTCTACTAATGGTAGCGCATCAGATATTCGTAGGTCTCTGGATCGGGACCCACAACCTGTCCAGCAGGATGAACAGGATCGTGATGCTGGTATTTACAAAGTTCGTGTAGACGAATCATCGCTGGCGAGCGCCAGAAAGTTGTCTTGTTCGTGGTCAAGAGGATTTTGCCATCCTACTAGTACTCGTGTTACGTAAGTCAGAGGCAAATTTACATTCTTACGTTACACTGCACGTACCTACAATGTTTTCAGCAAATTTCAGGGAGCTTTTTGAGCCGAGCACTTCAAGGCACTTCATCACCTGCATTTTCTTTTTTTTTTTTTGGAAAAGCGGGTCTATTATTTAGCAACTGACGCTGTCTAGCTCTAAATAAACGCTTATAGCGGCGCACTGGCGCCGTCCGAGGAAAAATGCTACTTATGCACACTCCATTCCTGGGAGTAGTGTGGGGCTCCGTATACTACCTGGACACCTCGGTCTGCGGGGGCCGGGGTAGTTTAATACCCACTAAAACCTCTAGGGCGGTTACCCAATCTTTTCCTGTACTATATTTGTCGTTGTTTGTTGTGATTACATCAGCCCATGTATGGTATACTTGTGATGTCGTCTTGGTTGATCGTTTCGTTTTGCACGCTACCACTCTGTCTAGTTGTAGCCTATTGTTTATAGTATTCGTCCACCGTGTTATGGTATGTTCATCGGTATGTGCTTGTTCTCGGATGACGCGCTCACACCTTATTACCCATATAAGATAGGCCGACTCTGATATCAAGATTCTTAGGAGGCGTGATGCCCCTTTTATTATCGCGGCGCATTTCTTGTCATTGTCATCTCTGTTTGGTGCGTTTTTCGGGAGTGATAGGTTGCCACATCCTAAGATGAGTCCTAGGGACGGTTCAGGCCACGGGCCATGTTTCTCCGGCCAAAGGTTTTTCGCTAGGTGCCATATTCTCTTTCTTATTGGGTTTGTGCATTGAATTAATATATGCTCCATCGATTCTGGTTCTTCTCCGCATGATTGGCATCGCGCTCTGTGTCCGAGATTGGGTAAATGTGTCCAGAAATCTCCAATTCGGAATGCATTATTTAACGTTTTATATAGGAAGATTTGTATTTTCTTGGAGATGTCGTTGTTCCTGCATCCTCGCCATATCGTTTCATCCGTCTCTAGTGTGGTCGTTAATGTTTCAATGGCGTATCTAGTGATATCCAGCATGCCTAAGGTTGGTCTTTTGTAATCTATGTGTTTCTTCGTCATTAACGCTCTATAAGCAGTCTTTTGGTCTACTTTTGACAGTTTTGCACCCTGGAGGTCGAAGTTCCGAGGGACGTATGTATCTATGATGTCGGTGGTTATTTTTGATGCGCCGTTTTGAGCAAGGTGATCTGCTTTCTCGTTTCCTGTCACTTGACTATGTCCCTTGACCCATTGGAAGCTAGTTGGCGCCGATCGTCGGCGTAGTTGATATGCTATAGCTTTGAATATTTGGGCGTTTGCCACGTTGATCCACCCGGCGTTCTCCCACTCGTCAAGGTGGGTGTTTAGTCCGTTTATTACATATTTAGAGTCTGTTATTATTTTGACAGGTGTTATTGGGTTTGCGTTTTGCAGGGCTACTAGTACTGCCACAAGTTCACCTATTTGATTTGAGTGGTGCGTTCCAGGCATGCTGATTTCTCGGTTCATTGGGTGATGTTCTTCAATCCAGATTCCTCCTCCGCACTTTGCGTTGTATTTGCCGTTGTTGATGCAGGAGCCATCCGTGAATATGGTGAGAGTGTCGTCGATTGTCTGTCTTCCGTTGAGAGGGACACGTAGTCTGTATGCAGGTATTTCAACCGGTCTTGATGGGTCTACAAAGATGCGGAAGCAGTCCGTCAGACTATTCCGTATTGTGATAGAAGGGTTGAATAGGATTTCTCCCCGCGGTTGTGTACGAGCTCGTACGTTTTTCTCGAGGCGTCTATGTGTTAGCGTTAAGTGATCTTTTCTAGGTGTCGTGTTAGGGTTATATTTTGGGAGGAGGCTATCTAGTATGTGTTGTGCGGTCTTTGCGCATTGGTGGGGGTTCTTACATCCTGCTAGTCTGTCGTTGATGCATTTGGAGCATGTACATGTGGCTTTCGATTGGTGAGATCTTTGGTCTTTTATTCGTTTGGCAGTGTCTTTTAGATGTTTCACTGATATTACTCGGTGTGTTTGCTTTAGGCAATTATTTTTGGTCCTATGGTATGTTCTTGGTGGGGCGCCTAGATGTAACCAGGCTGGGAGTTGGTTTTTGAGGCTGTCGGAGATCTTTAAAGGTGCGAAGCTCACATGGTGTTTTTTGGCTGTTTTCAACATGTTTGTGATTATATATGGCAGTTTGCTTGCTTGTTTGCCCTTTGTGGGGGGGTTCCAGGATGTCAGGAACATGCGCAGGTCAGTGTCATTAGTGATTCCTTCTGGTTTCAGTGTGTTGATTATGGCGTCAGCAACAAACGCCCATGTTGGTCTGTGATTTGTTATGTCCATGTAGGTTCTTAGCCATGTTATGTCTATTGCTTCATTCCTTACTTTGATGTTTAGGAGACCAAGGCCTCCTTCGGCGATGGGTCTTTCCAGTCTCCCTGTGCTTATTGGTGGGGTTGTTTTCCCGTCCCATATGAAGTTCCTGATTAACTTTGTGACGGCGTTCTCGATGTTTCTAGGCATCCCTTGTGCCTTTGCGAGGAATTGCGTCATTCCTCCAACTACCATTTGTACAATCAGTTTCTTTCCATCGAGGGAGGGGTGTCCCATGTTCCATCTGTTGAGGTTGTCTTCGATTTTTGTTAGAGTCGATTCCCAGGATGCTGTTTGTTCTGTCTCGTTGCCTATCCAGGCTCCGAGTGATCTTATAGGGCTGCCGTCTTCGGCTACTCTGACTTGTTCTTGCCAAGGTGCGTCCAGGTCATTTACTTTCCTGTTTCGTATTACTGATGCGCGATGTTCTTTCGTTCCGATAGGCAATATTTCGGTTTTTTCCATGTTAAATTTCGCGCCTGATGCCATGCACCAGGTTTGTAGTATGGTTTCTAAATCTGAGTATTTATCTTCTTTTGATAAGTATATCGTAGTATCGTCTGCGTACATGTTGACTTTTATTCGTTCCGGTATTCCAGGGA